TAGCTACTTCAATTGAAGTTGTTTACTTATGAAATGCTTTTACTGACAGCCTCATTCACTACAACAATCACAAATTCTACTTAACACGCGTGGCGTGTTTTGACCCTGTCTAGATGAAATGGCAGATGGCCTGAGCCGTCTGAAGAAACTCGGGTTGGGTCTGCAGTCTGAGATTGACAGCCAGAATGACCTCATCGATTCTCTGGGCAACAAAGTGGACAAGATGGACACAAAGATCAATAACACAAACCAGCAGATTAAAAGGCTCAAATAAAAATAAAAAAAATTGCGACTTTAGACCTCACTGACATCTTACAAGTCATCACTTGATTTTACATCATGTCCTGATCAAGAAAATACTTGCAGAATATGTTTTGTTTTGGGTTTTTTTTTTTTTTGCTTCATTTGTATTTGTAAATGTATGTCCCTCCCCCCACTACCAATCCTAACATATTTGGATTGTGTGCAGCAAAGGAAATACTCCATGTTCGTAAATTTGGAAGTGGTCTTCATCAGTCTATGCACATGCATCTCTCTAAATATGAATATTGTGTAAAACTTCGATTCAGTCAAACAATATGTACGAAAAGTGCTGCCTTACAATTTCATATATACACCTGTTTATATATATATAGTTTTGTTTTTTTTTTTGTGTGCGGGGGGCGATTATTTTTCATATCAAGCATTCTAACATCAGTTTGAGTCTTTTTTTTTTTGTCTTTCATTTCTTACTGAGCCTTTTATGCACTGATTGGTTCGATCAGTATGAATGTTCTACATTGTTACAGTGTAAAGGATGAGTTGCAAATATGAGTGAACTGGAATCATTTAGATATAACATTAAAGTTGAAGGAATATCACCTCTGGATCATGCTTTTGATTTTAATTTTCTTTTTTTTTTTGTAAATTGGAGGCAAATGGAGCAAACCACCACAAGGTGGAGTCAAAGTATTGAAATCAATTAGCTAATCATAATCATTTTTTTCTTTAAAAAACAAAACAGCTGACAATCAGCCGAAAGCTTTTTTTTTGAGCTGAGTCCAGAATTAGTGGATAATTTAAACAGCAACATTTTTGGGAAAATAGATCATTTATTTTATATTCTGTATATTTGTTCAACTCAACCGTCAACTTCTTTTAATGAGAAGTTGATTTTAAACATGTGTTATATTTGAAACATAAATTGGCCGACAAGAGAAAAGTCACTTTTAGGGGACGCTGAGGAGCATTGATATTGGAAATATTGTTTAGGAATCACTTTTATCACAGTTACAGTTACATTTTGTCTCGGGACAACTATCATTTACACCCTTACTGGATGCTTTCTGTGTTTTGCCCATGGATTATTTAAAATTACACGTGGGGACAGAAAACAAATTTTTGTATGACCCATCAATTAGAAAACATGACAAATGAACGTGGAGACAATATTTAACAAACAGGCCAGTAAAAGTTTAGCTCTAAAAGATCATGTGTTTCCAGCTGTAGTGTCGTCTTCAAACCTCATGCCCACGTCTATTCATTATCATTCTTGTGTGTAAGGAGCAGCTGGCAACGAGTAACCGCAAGCCTTCATTAGTAAGACTGTTCAATTACGTTCAGCACTTTTCTCAACACACAGAGAACCTGAACGGGTCGGCCGGGTTCTGAGCTGACAGGCCCCACAAACAACATGTTTGCCCATGAAATGAAGTATGCAAACAGATATTGTGAATATTGGTGAGAATACTGTGCTGTTCGCAAGGCAGGCGCAAAACCGTTTCGATTGCAATAATCCCTTGTGTGGGTGACCTTCCAGACACCAAGGAGTCAAATCTGCGATTTGGAAATACTCTTTAGCTAGCTAGCAGATTTAACTCTCTATTTCTTTTTTTACACACACACACACACACACACACACACACACACACACACACACACACACACACACACACACACACAAGGATGGTTGGATGAACAGTTGGATGGAAACATGGGTAGATAGATAAATGTAAGAACAGACGATGGACAGAAAGATGTGGTGCAAATACAGGTGGTGACGGCAGGTACAGAAGCTGTCATAGCACATCCAGCGCCAACAAAAGCAATAAACGGAAGTCATCCCCTGAATGCTTTCCCTTCACGCCGTGCGCAGGGTCGAGAGGGCTTTGAACAGCTGTCTTGTAAAAAGCAAACAGTGGGTCGCCTGTCACAAAAGCCGCTGTTGCTGGAATGCCCCCCCCTTTCACAGGGCCTAATCCCAGAACACACTGCTGTCGGAGCCCATCAGGCAACGGGCCAGAGATGGGCCTTCCTGCCCTTTGGAGGGCGGGTTAGCAGTTGTGGCATTGGGACAAGGGGGGGGGGGGCGTGGGGTGCTTCGGAGAGGACGGACAGAGGGGATGACAGCGCTTTTGTAAGAAAAGAGAAGAGTTGTGCTGACTGAGGGCAGTTGTGTAGTTGTCAGGTAAAGATTGCAAAAGGAAGCGACCTTCAAGTGGATGACGTGGGCACGAGTGGAGACAAGCTCCCTCTGACGATCCAAATGGAAAATGTTCATTTAGAACATTCACTCAGAAAAACGCATCATGGCAGAGTTTATTTAGCATTTTCATCTATTGAATTCGATTTAGAATCCTACAATTGTTAGAATTATTATTTTTAGATTCCTTGAAATCAGCATAAATCTGTGAATTTCAAAACTAATGGAGGCTTTGGAGTACAGTAAATGAAATTGCCTTCCATTACGATTGCATCAATATTTCAGGATGTCTATGCTTCACTTTGGCATTAGGTAGTAGTAATGCAGGTGGCTTGTGTTTCCCACACAGCATTTCTGATGGTTAAATCATAACACAGGTCTTCCCCAAATCGCCGCCCCCACAAAAAACATGATTGTACACACAAGTTAGTCATTTGACCTGTCGTCATCCCGTTTTACGCCGCTAGCCAGAATGTAGAGAATGCTGTCAAATTATATTGTTTGCGTGCGCTTGCGTCTTACCTCCACTCGTCTGCATGCTTCTCTAAACTGCTGTAAATAAACAAAGTGAGGGATATCATTAACATCACTTGTGCGGTAGTGCAGAAGCCAAAACAACAATAATCACCGTGGCATTTAACAAATAAAGATGTGAATCAATCAAAACATATTGGGGCTCACAGTCGAATATATGACAGTAATAGTTGTTTATTTTCACTAATGGACAGTGTACAAAGGATGCTGCGCTGTGCCAACAAAGTCAACCGTTTTATATAAATAAAGAAATACACAGATATGTGGCGAAATCACAGCTTTCCACTTTAAGGAACATTCTGGTACGTGGGGGGTGCGCGAGTGTGTGTGCGTGGTATTTGGAATTCATGCGCTTGAATGACCTGTGTTGTTCAAGTCAGGAATGTTATGTTAATCTGCTATTTCTTCCGAGGAAAAGAAAACACACAGACACACACACACACAGACACACACACAAAACCCCACGAGCGCAGGAGAAGTGCTCTTTGACCTTTATGTCTTGTTAATCACTAAAAAGTAGAAAAAAGAATGAGGCCTGGATGGTTCTGCTACGTTTACATTTTGTTTCTAACAGCCCCTTTTCAGGCCATCGTGAAAAGAATGTCGCGGTTATAAGAAAACGCGGGCGGACCGGAGGGCCAAACATGCAGGTGTGGTGGCCTGGCAAATGAGGAAACGTAATTTCTAAAACGGGGTGCGGGCAAATATATCTGACGATTCATCATCGGGGATCACCCAATTTCCAGGCTGTCTGTCCGTACAGGGTGGTTTATCCCCTGTCATCTTACACTTGCCAGCTACAACTCTTCTCTTCGACAACCTTTAGCCATGTGTGTAATTTACCGACAAAAGCAGCCTTGGCATTACCTGTCTATAACAGTTAATGTTGAATGAGTGACTGTGTACGTGTGTGTGTGTGTGTACGTGTGTGTGTGTGTGTGTGTGTGTGTGTGTGTGTGTGTGCGTGCGTGTGATTGAGAGAGAGAGAGAGAGCTAGCTAGCTAGCTAGAGAGACTGCGCCATCTGTATGTAAATGACAGACTCTTGTTCACATTTTGGTCGTACAAAAGATGGATTTGTGAAGTATAGTTGCTAACAGAAAACACAACGTTTGCCCCCCCCCCACTAATGCCGACTCTTGAGCCCGGCAGAGAAGCTTCATATGGCTTTACTGAGGCCAGAAAAGTGCTCCGAAGCAGTCTGGCTGACTACGTTTCAGGTAAATAGGACAGGTGCGGCCGTCGGTAACAGAGTGTAAACGTAGCTTTACTTTATTGATACTAACTGATGAAACTCCCACCAAGCTAATATAATGAGGGAGTCAGAGGGAGGTGAAAACCAGCAATTCCTTGAGGATACAGTAATTCAATTCTTTTGAATGCCCCTCACCCACCCCATATTCAGCTGAAAGAGCTGTTGGGTTGATTTTTGCCATTTGAGACCGTAATGACGGATCATTAGGAGAGACAAATTGGAGACAAAACCTAAGCACCTGAGAAATCTCTACCCGTACCTCTTTTTTTATTTTTTATTTTTTGCTTTTGGGTAAACAGAAATACAATGGAAACTCCATGGTCAAACACAATGTATTTTGAGTTCCGTTATTTAGATTTTTTTTTTCCCAACTGGAAACCATGGAAATAGAGCTCATCTGTTGTGAGTGTTTGGGTTCCACACCATCAACAGCATGAATCCTTAAGTTATATTTTAACATTCTTAACTGTCAAGAGTGGAAAATTATGCTAACTGCTATTTTAAAACGAAAAAGGAATCAAAACTGTTGTCATCCTCAACAGCGAAAAAGACTGACAGAAATGAGTATTGATTATAGTCAGGTTACCTTAGAATGTTTTCTCTTTACAATTTGACCGTTATTGTTTTCCACATACAGTGGCACCTTGAGACAAGAGTTGGGTTGTTTTTTTTTTTTTGGACTGCAAGCAATCTCAGAAGTGGAAATGCCATTATGTTCCAGCCTCCTAAAAGGAAAACAGCAAAAATCAAATGTTTGTATGGAGTTTTTAATAAAAAAAAATATAAATCTAGAATATTGTACTTAAAAAAAAGTGGAATGAAAATTCAATAGAAATTAAACCGTTTTTGTCACATCTCAGTTGGACGTGGACATTGTGCTGCTTGCTCCTTTTGCTCAGACATAAAGAGTGACCACAAAAATTTTCAGAATTTATATTTAGTTCAGACTAAACGTGGAGATGGTCTTCAGTTCCTCAGTAAGATGCAGTAATATTAGTCATTCTTCACAGAGGATAAAAAATATATGCCTGTGAATGTTGTTATATTCATTTTGTACATTGATCTTACTACAAAAAGCCATAAGTTCACTCAGTTGAATCGCAAGGCACCACTGTATGTCAACCTTTTCTTCTTTTTCAAAAGAGAACGATTAAGCATAATCACTACTCGCCGCACATTTTACTTTTTGATATTCTTTGTGGACAAAGAAGTCAAAAGCTGTTAGAATAAAACATTAAAAACAATAAAACATGTACTCACCCTTGATGACCAGTGACAAGACGCGGTGAAGACTGTTTACAGCTTGCGCCTGGGAGGGGAGTCTTTTCAAACCAAGACAAAGTCGACTTCGCGCTGTATATCCTGTTGTAGGTTTTTTTTTGTGTGTTTGTTGTTTTTTTTTTTTTTTTAGTTGATAATTATGTTGACCAGAAAACAGACGCTGGTCTGCGGTCACGATCACTTCCTCTTTGCTACTTGAGGTTCTTATTTATACTGTGCTGAACACTCGTGCTGAATTTTTGTACATTTTTCAAAGTTCCACTGTAGTGACATGGAGAGCAAAAGGTTGAGCAAAGAAGCAGTCAATTGGGGCTTAATCGGAGCGCAGTCACTGCTGTTTGGTGTAAAAACATCTCGATACAAAAAAAAACGTGTCTCTACATTACATGACACGTGGAAATTAAGAGTAGAAAATGTATAAAGCTAAATGATATATATATTTTTGCATATTTATACGTGACGCATTATCAAAACGCAGTTGCATTTATGGAGGTAGATAGCAGAGAGGTAAAAATACACAGTATACAGAGGTTGCTGTGCTTTGGAGGAGAAAGGGTGGCAGTAAAATCATCTGAAAGTTTTTAGCAAGATTAGCTGCGTGCGTAGTAAGCAATACAGTGCAGAGTATGAGGTGAAAGATTAAAAAAAAAAAAAAAAAAGTGGCAGGATGCGGCTGATCTCCTTGAGTAAACCCATCCAGGAATTCTGGATTGGAGGGGAGGGGGGTGTCTTGACTGGCAGGGCTCTGCACTGTTTTGCAGAAGCTGCTGAGGACAATGTGGTCCTTCGACGTGGACGTGTGCTGGTGACATGGCTGCTCACACAAAAAGGACAGAGTAAGAGGGACATCGGCAGCCTTTGGACGACGACTCTCGCATCCACGACCCGTGGCAGCCTACGGCGGAAGCTGCTGACCAGAAGGTTCTAGAAAAGGCAACAGAAAAGACAATTGCCTCTCAATACTTTGAATGTCATAGCAATTTTAATCTGTCGTTATGTCATAAGTTTTTTTTTTTTTTTTTTTTAATCCATCCATCCGCTTTATCCTCACAAGGGTGGCGGGGCATGCTGGAGCCTATCCCAGCCGTCTTCGGGCAGTAGGCGGGGGACACCCTGAACCGGTTGCCAGCCAATCGCGCTCACACTAAGTCCTAGGGACAATTCAGAGTGTTCAATCAGCCTGCCATGCATGTTTTAGGAATGTGGGAGTAAACCGGAGTACCCGGAGAAAACCCACACAGGCACGGGGAGAACATGCAAACTCCACACAGGAAGGCCAGAGCTGGAATCGAACCCGGTACCTCTGCACTGTGAGGTCAACGCACTAACAACTGGACCACCGAGCCACCAGTTTTTTTTTTTTTTTAAATAAGAAAAATAGCACCCCATAATGTTATACTTTATAAAAACAAACAACCATGACATAGTGAAAGAGAATGTAACGAATTCAACAGTTTTTACCATTATCTTTTACTTTCAATGGACATTATGCTGCTCCTTCTGGTGTCCGCCTTGGCCACCGGGAGGGCAATATAATACCGATTTTGAAGGAACAGAAGGAGCTTCTTTTCGTACATTGCACCTTACGTTAAAGTCTATCCTCAACAAAATATATAAATGGTTTGCTTTACCTGGTGCCTTCAAGGCCGTCTCCTCCACACCGGTCTGACTTGGACATAGCATCACTCTGGCACTCTGCGCACACCAGCCTCTCTCTCACCAGCTGGGCACTCCACAGTTTAAGTTTGCACGCTGCACTAGCTTGTTTCAACCTCAAATATACACAGTAGCTAGAAAAAAAAATAAAAGACATTTTAAAAGGTAGTTAAGTCATACAATGTATACAAGGGATATAATAAGTAAGTGACTTTTTATTGTTTGTACCTAATCATCTGGTCTCTGGATTGTGTGAATTTAATCAACTAAGTAAAAGTGGCAACTGGGATTTGGTTAACTCATTTACCGCCAGCCGTTTTTTCGAAAGCCGAAATGCTGTTGTTTCTGCTGCCGGCTATGATAATAGGAGACTTCCGGTGTGTGAACTTGGCTCGACAGTTGGAGGAAGTCCATGGCAGCAAGCTGTGTTTTAATGGCACCCCGAGGCAGACAAAAGAGCAATCAAGGCTCAGATAACAGAGCAGCGTCATTTGAAGGTGATCCAGCAGTGTCATGTCACCTGCTGCGTATCCTAATATCAACACGGCTCCGCCTGCGCTCCGGAGACAATAATAATGTGTTCTCTGGCAGACGCTTTGTACTCCCACTCTATTTGTTTTGTCTCTCATTCAGTCATCTGTGACAAAACATCATTCCTATTGAGGGTTTGCTCTGAAAAAACACTTCCATTTCTTTTTTTTTTTGAAGTGAGGAACATCAATTTTTTTTTCTCCTTTTACAAGGACTAAAAATACGAAGTTAACTTTTAGTTTCATGTATTGCATGATCTTTAGCAGAATAGCTAGCCTCTTAACTGGAACACGTAAGAGGGAGCACATATCTCGAAATTAAAGCCACATTTAAAAGGAAAAGTTGCCATATTACAAGAAGTATGATAAAAATACAGTCATCATCTATAATGAGTAAATATCAAAATTCCCAAGCAAACCCTGCAGGTTGAGATGAGCAGCAAAAATGAATGGAGTGGTGTAGCTATCAGCTACCCATTATAGTGCTTAAATGATACAGTAACAGGATAAACAATGACATTTTTTCCGGTAATATTTGGACTTCAGTCTCACAAATGTAGAATTCTTTTTTTTCCCCCAAACTTCGAACAGTGTTGCCAACAATTTTCCAAATTGGGGAAGAATCTACATGACCTAAGTTTATCGAGAGGCTAATCCTCCTGAAAGCTCATTTCTGTCTCTGACTTTGCAAGTAATTATTCCTGACAACATCAGGTACCTTTCAACGGACCAGAGGACACTTTTAATCCACTTCCTCATCCATGAATGTCTTATTTTCTTGAGTAATGTGCCTCCAGGGCCCTGATAGTCAGTGGAAACACGGGAGTCCAATGTCACTTTTAATCAGTGAGAAAGGCGGTAAGGTCTTCTTGGAAAACAGCCATGACTTTTTATCCTCGTCTCTGAGAACATCTGCAATCACGGCAAAGACCACATCCAAGAAGGACGGCTGTACTTTTGACTTTTTTTAACCCGGCTTACAGAGGCTTTATCAGCACAGGTCACTTCATGATGCACATGGACAACTGTTCATTTTATAGCCAAAGCAATCTCAAGGCTCTGGTTGCTATGACAACTTTGGCTTTGCCACTTCTCCTTAAGTCTTATTGGAGCACAAAAGTTGAATTCGTGGGATGAATGGGAATAAACCATTTTCTGACTATCGCTGTATCCCAAATAAAATACGAGAAGGGTTCACATCAAGCCAATGAGTAAATGATGAGAAATGTTGACGTAACATGAACACAGTTGGACTTTATTGTTTGGCACAAAACAGCTGGAATGAAACGCTCACTGATTGCATGAATGATTATACAATTGAAACTTGAAGGGCCGGTGCTTTGAAAAGCATATCATTCTCAATTCACTCAAAACTCCAAATTCATCCCCGCTCCGTAAAAAAAATCATTCATATCCCACCATTTTTGTGAAAAATATATTTTGGCTGTTTATCAGTGGTTTTTTTTTTTTTTTAAATAATGTTTTGAGTTTTTTCCCCCAGTGCTTTTCAGTGGGCATATGCGGATTTTCGCTATTCGCGGGCTTGTGGAATCAGAGCATTATACAACTAACAGCGGTTGACTAATTTTACACTTGCATCAAGAATAAAATGAGTGAAAATACATTTGGCCAAAGAACTGATCATTTCAATTGACATGATCTTCCATAGGATGGGTTGTTTGTTTGATGGAATTTTGGAAGCTGGTATTGCGTGTTGATCGACCTTACCTGGCCTTCTCCTCTTTCAGCAGCATGTGAGGCCTCCTCCAAGGGTCCTTAAAGTTCCTCTTGAAGGAATCCGGAAGGATCTTTGCAACCTCTGCAGGCCAGCATGGCGGTGGAAAGACGGTGGCAATGCAAATAAGAAACAAACAAAACAACGAAGACAGCTTTTTACTTTTCCTCCCTACAATTGAAAGTCATCCATGCTCGCCAACTTGATCCATCGATTGATTGCCAACAGATGACAAATAGCACCAATCTGGTGGAATTGTCACGATGTACATTTTAGTGTTTGTACCTTTTTACTTCAGTCTCTCCGTTAAATCTGTAGTTGTACTTTTACCAGAGTATTTCTTTGTACAATTATTTGTACTTCTGCAAAAGTACCGAGTGGGCATACTTAGCGTATGTCATCTATTAGTGATTGCAACACAGCTGCACACAAGGCTTCCTGGAGCATGCGCTGCCTATCCAGCAAATGTGTAACGGATGCCAAAGTGCCCCAGAGGAGTGCATTAACACTTAAAAGAGTAGCGCGCTCACCTTTCGCCGAACTGCATATTTCGTTGTTTCCGAAGCACCCGCGGCGCTGTTTGAGGTCCGGGCAAGGCATTCCCCCATTTCGAGGCGGGACAGACACTTGGCGGCTCCTTTCGGTGCTGCCCACCCCACATGGAGACGTGCATGACGACCAGGGGCCCCATGAGCCCACCGCACAGTCAATGGCTGCTAGGGAAGCACACAAAAACAGAGATCTTGAAAGTTTTCTTGTGCTCATTAGGCTCCCGTGTGAGCTGGATCGGACTGGTCGCTAGTCAATCGCATTGCTACAACACATCTTCCTGTTATTTTTCTAAAGGCTCATAAACAGATTTTACTATCTTGTAAAGGTGTACACAAGATAGTAAAATCTGTTTCAGGTAAGAGGCAGGTCAACAAGTGAGTTGCTCATTGGCATCCGCTCATGTCAACATCAGTACAAGCAGGAAGTGCGCAAAATGGCCCCCACTGCACTTTGTTTCTCTCTGGTTTCACTCCATGCCACAACTTGAAAACACACACACAGAAGCAGCAGGAGCAGCAATCAGGCTGAATTAGCCACTTACATCAATTTAAAGAGGAAGTTGTGCTTGATCAAAGGTAAGCAGCTCCAGCGGGAAATCGGTGACATTTAATAGCAGCCGACCTCTAACATGGCTTCTTTTTATGCTGGAAATGCACACTCCGTCAACACAAACAAAGAAAGGTGAAAGGAGGCACACATCGGTTGACTTTTGTGCTCCCGGTGTTCTGAATGTTATTTTCAAGCATGCTAGATTGTTTGTTTAAAAACCAACAGTTCCTTAAGATTAAATGCAAATATATTGAAACTTCAATACAACTGAACTGTTCTCAGGCAATGATTCTTTCAATGACCTCAGATAAATTCGTCAAGTCACAGGTCTAAATAACACACACATTCCCACAGACAGCACACCACCATTTTCAGCTCTTGGTATCCCAATGGCAAATCAAGAACCTCACTGATATGGACAACTACCTGATCCAGGGTAGCCAATGTCGAGTATTCGTCAATTGCGTGGATCACCAACCTTTTTTGTAGTTGTATTTCTGTTGTAATATAATTTTGAGAACATTTGTTTGGCAGACCTCAAAAGAAATCAAAACTCAAGACTCTATTGTTAAAACAAATAAAATTACAGGTATTTTAATTATTTTATACGAATAGTATATAAGACATTGCTCATGGTTGTCGTACGGGCATAGCATACCATAATTCATTTCCGGATCGGTTTAGTGAGTTGATGTTCTCTCCGGGAATGCAGACACATGTGAATTTTGCCAGCTATTTTGCTGATCAAACTTGTCTGTTCTTAGCTTTAACGCGGTTCCAGCCAGACCTCTGTCACAAGTGTACTTGGTCACCCAAGCATTTAATTCTGGTGTTAAAAGCAGTGTCAATACTGTATTTGGTCAGCTTAGCAATGAACATGGCTTCTCCCCTTTGTCAGAACGATGCGTGAAATGCAGCTTACTTTAGTATGAATACTGTTTATATATCTTAAACATGCTGCTACCCACATACCCATACATGAAAATTCCTTTCACAGGGGGTTCCTGGTCCCCATCAACCGTGAAAAACGAGGGATTACTGCAATTGTTTTAGAGTGTACTGCTTGAATGTTTCAAATGAGAGCTAATTTGGGGAGGGTGCCCGACACGCTGACAAAAACCTCTTGTTTTCTCCATGCTGGGTGAGAGGTCAGAGGTGGTGGCTACGAGCCAAGCGGCGGGTCAGACTGTAAGCAGGGTTTATCACGTGGGTGGCGATTCTTGTCTCTTGTCGCACCGCCCGTACCAGAAACAGAGAAAAGGACCACCGCGGCCAGGCAATTACCTCCTGACCTCTGGTGGGCTCTGCTCACAGGACGCCACGCTGCTATGGGGCGGGGGTGTTCACCACCTACCTACCCCTGGGTGCGGGAACTCGCCGACCCTATCCATTTCATTGTGCGCTCTTTTCACCAAAGGCCTTAATTGGCCGTGTGGCCCACAGCAGGGAGAAACAAAGTGTGCGTGTGTGTGTGAGGGGAGGATAAGAAGAATGAGCAGGAAGTTGGCTCCGGATGAATCAAAATAAAGATACAAGTGCGTTTTTTCCAGGGATGACTGCAAATGGAATGAGCCCAAGTGGTCTGACAAATGAGTATGGGTGTATGTGTGCGGTGATCTGGGAAAGGCGGGTGTCAGGTGGGCAGCACTAATGTGCAGGAATGCAGAGATTCCAAAGTGGCTTTGTGGACTGGCCGTGTCACTGAGACAGCCAGACCCCGACCCCACCATGGTGAATGAATAGAGCGCTGCGGCACCTTGAAAGCTTTCTCAATCCACACACACACACACACACACACGCACACGCACACACACACACACACACACACACACACACACACACACACACACACACACACACACACACACACGCACAATGAAAATGGAGTGGCCATGCAGGGAGTCACTCCTTAGTTCATGGTTCTTCATCCTCTCCTTCCCCTGAATGCACCCACTTTCCTCATTGTCTATTTGCTGTTCGTAGTTTTCGGCCATTTTCACAAAGTTGTTTTTTTTTTTTTTTCCAAAAAAGTGCATTTGTTCCTCGTTACTATAAGGTCAAAGAAATATCAGCCTCTTAGTCTGTCCCCACTGTTGGTCTGTTATTTTGAGGCTCGAAATAAATGGTTTCGCATCACAGTTTGCGAGGCAAAATTAGCATTTTGCAAAGCAAAAATTAGCATTTGGCGCTTCATTAAAACACATTCCATAGCAACCTGAGAATCAACAGCCGAGGCGTCACAAAAAGCTTCGCTGGGCGACATAGCTCACGTCACCCACCGCAGGTAGTTGGAGCTTGAGGCACAGCTCAGTGAACTTACGATGCAGCAGCTAGCTAGCAAAGAGCTTCAGCTTGCGACTTAATTAATTAATTCTATCCTGTATGATTTATGTTCCGGGAGTTATTATATATTTTAAATACAAGAGAACATTTACTTAGTTATTTACGATTGTATTATTATTTTAATTATTGTCTTTTATTGTTTATGTCCAGCACTTTCTTACAGCTGTGGTTGTTGTGCTGAGCTGTATGAATATAGCTCAGTGGACTATATTATTATATGACAACTGAAATATTATGCAATTCAGGCTCCACATTCTAGTTCTGAAATATTTTGAAGTGACTTCACCGAGTTGAATATGAAGACAAACTAGATGTACTGGAGGAGAGCCTGGCTGAGCCACATCCAATGTGTTCTCCAAGTCGACATGCTGGTCGTCAAGTAGCCCTGGTGCCCATGTTGGATGTGGCAAAGTTCCGGTCAAATGCAAGAGCTAAACGCAAGGTAATTCTGTTTAAGGTAACTCTACTTAAACCATCCCCAGAGATTTGCACTCAACCGAATTTTATTTGGGTTTGATTTGAGATTAACCAAAATACACAGATACACAAAGTAAAACAAATTTTACACGGCAACAATGTTTTTGGTCCACACAGACCGAAATAATAATAGAGGGGTAAAGGGTCTTGCTTGGAGGCATTTCCAGTAATTTTCCCTGGTAGAATTTCACACAAACATCGTGAAATTGAGCGAAGCACGGAAAGAGTACCCCTAAATCAGCATTTTTGTCCTCCTGGCTTGTCGCAACATCTCCAGTCACACTCTGCGATAATTAAGCGCAATCTACCTTTTCAGCTTACTCGGCTCTCTTTTTCTTCCCGGCCTCCATCCTGCTTCCATTTTAGAGTGTTCCGACAAAGGACTTTATCTCTTTCTCCCTTAATTACCTTCTTCATTCCCTCCATCTGTCTCATTCTAAACACACTTCCACCCCCTTCTCTTCAGGATTGCACCTCCTCCTGGCTGATGGGACCCAGATGTCCAACTGTTGTCGGGGGGACAACAGACCCCCTAAAAAAAACTTCCTCTGACACCCTCCCAGGCGCAGGACTAATAATAACAGTTTTGCACAAAAACGTTTCCTTGACAGAAAAAACAACTAATTATCAAGGCTCAGTGCAAACGCTTGCGAAGCGCTGCTCCAAACTGTGGTCGATGTAAGGTGCAATCAATCACAGGGGTTCAAAACTGGTCCAAGTTGTCGTCACCGTGCGGTGCGTTCATGAACCGTCACCAAGGGTTACAGCTTAGTCCAAATTGAGTGCTCCCATGAAGATGTTTAAAAATTTGAGAAATATGATGCAGTAGTGGCGTCTTGATAATAAACAAGGTGTTTAAAGGATCACAATTTTTTTTTTTTAAAGATTTTGCAAGCAGAAACATGCGTGTAGCACAGTTAGAGTGTACAGCTGCTGGTCCAGCTGGCCCGTTTCAAGCCTTCTCGTGAAAAACATCGACTCTGCACGTGGGTCAAAGACAGGAACGTGGGATGGAAGACAGGAAGAGTGAGGAGTGAGCGTCCGGCTCAGGATGTGACAACGTATAGTTTCGCAGAAGGGAGAAGAGAAGCAGACGTGCCAGAAGAATGATGAGCGAGCTGCCGGGGCAAACTGAAGGCAACAACTACCTGGCACCACCATTTTGTCTTGCATCACTGGACTGAGACTTGCCAACTGTGAAACGCTACAGTGCTCTCGAGTGATTCTGACACAAGGTTGGAATAGTTTGAAGATTCACTTCATGGTTTCTAAAAATGAACATTCATGATGAAATTAAAAATAAATCGCCAAAAAATCCAAAGGGTTCAACGACGGTTGAGTGGAAAGCGCGACGATTCGATTCGGTTGGACTCAGTGGGGATTACGATTTCATTCGATATGGTACAAGAATATATGATGCAATGACTTTTTCGTTGTCATTTTACAGACATGCTTGTCAGTCCCGTCAATGTGCCGTTTTCTTCTCTCCAATAAAAGATGAACCGCACCTCGATGTATTTTAAAGTGGAATGATGCGATTCGATTCAATTTGACGTGCGCACATCTTTTCAAATGAATTCAAATTAAAAACGTCGCTCGCGGGAGGTACGTCGCTTGTAAAGTAGATCTTCGGTCAAAAAAGCTTGGGCACCCTTGCTGTATAGAGATGAGGGGTGGAGACTGTTGACATTGGTCTATAGTCCCTTAGCCAATCAGGATGCAGCCGCGAAAGGTGAACCGCGTTCAAATAATCGCCTCCACAACATTCCCAGAAAATCACAATGGCCCATAAGTGATAAACTATCTTTTGATTAGGCACACAGGATACCCGTGCGGTCCCTCGGGCCTACCTGGTCTAACTTGTTGCTTTCTCAAATTTGTCACATACACAAAACTTAATCTGGACAGACCTTAACACAAACTACAGGTGCTTGCCGCTCTTTAACTACAGACACCAACTGGCTAGCAGCGATTGTCACTTTCACATCAATGTTCAACGATGTATTAACTGTCACGGAAGTTAAGAGCGAATCATAAGATTGATAAACCGACCGTATTATTATTATTATTACAGTTGTGAACATGGTTTTTCCATTTGAATAACTCTGCATGCTAAATTGCGATTGACTGTGGGCAACTGGCAACCAACACAATGGACTGACTGGTTGCCAGTCAATCGCACGGCTCTTAGCCGACAGAGACAGACAATAGTTCACGTTCACTTTCCTACCACGAGGATGTTTTTGTGTCAAACAAGGTGGCCGTGATGGCAGCCGACTGAGAAACCAATGCTGGGCTGCAGCTGCTGCGGTTTCCAGACAGATGTTGATGCAGAGGAGACCTGCAGCATCGGAATCTGATAAGTCCAGGTGGAGTCTCGTGTGGAACGGAGCCAAGGACATGAGATGTATTTAGCACACACGGGAAGTCAATGTTTTTTTTTTTTTTTTAAACCTCAAGAGAGAGCAGACTATCTTATCAAACTGGCATCCTTTAGGAATACTAATGAATCCTGCACAGAGCAGACACCGAGGACGTTTTGTACGTTTGTTCAGGGTCATGAGTGTGTCAGAGCTACCTTACAGATTAGATATTTGTGCATTGTTTTTATTATGGTGACACTTCTTTCTACTACCTAGGCATTCTTGGAAATTGACTTTTCGTAGAGCGGAACAGTGGAATAGTGGTTAGCGCGTCTCAAAGGTTCGTGGTTTGAATCCCTTCTGGTGTGGAGTTTGCGTGTTCTCCGTGTGCTCGAGGGGGTTTTGTCCCTCTACTCACTATTCCTCTCACAGTCCAAAGACATGCATGATGGTTCAATGAAGGCTCTAAATTTTCCAGACGTATGACTGTGACTCACCAATGCAGAGTACGAAAACCTTCAGTACTTTTGAGGAGTTACATTTCATTGAACACAATGACAAATGCAGATGATGATTTGCCAGTGTGTCAAACTGCCGCAGTAGGGCACCAAGTAGTGGTGAGAAAGACTAACTCAATGTCAGAATTTGTTTTGCCTCAAGTATCTGTGGCTGGTATTGGCAGCCTTTATGAGTACCCGATACCTTAAAATCAGGCCGGTATTCCAAGTAGTGGTGAGAAAGACTAACTCAATGTCAGACTTTGTTTTGCCTCAAGTATCCGTAGCTGGTATTGGCAGCCTTTATGATACCTGATACCTTAAAATAAGGCCGGTATCGGGCAGATACCGATACCCTGTTTTCGGTACTCGCCTATCCCTACTCGTGGCCCTACTAAGGATGAGCGATATAGAAATTGATAGTCTCATTATCATTTTGTAATATTTAAATTTCCTAAGATGGTGAACCTGGTGATTTTGTTCACCGTACGGTGACAGTGACCTCAACTCAGCTCACAAGAAGGATCACTTAGCAAATGCTGTACAATTCTTACAAATAGAGGCTACAACCTGATTGTTGCCTCGACCAGGTTAAGTTTACTATCAAACTAGACATAAAACAAAGAATTACACAATGTGTTTGTAATACGACACATAGCTTCGCCTTTCTGCTAGCTAGCTTAATGCTAATGCTAAATAGCATCTATCTTGTTGTGCACACGAGAATGCAGAGTGACAAAAACGGTTTGATTTCTTAAAATTCTTTTGTTTTATGTTTATTTAATTTTCCTCATTAAAATACACATTAGAACAATGTAGTTTTTTATCATTATGAATATGTTACAATTTATATGGAAAGTTGACTTCTTAGCAGAGAAATAAAGAATCAAAAAAAATGTGAGTAAAAGTGCACCCAGCAGACGCTAACCAACTTGTCAGAGAACAGCTTCTCCTCTCCAGTACACTCATCTACCCCAGGACGGCTCAACACCAACTCGGGCTGCTTCCCTGAGGGTACTCTGTGAGCTTGACACATGCAAACGGTGTGGATCAGCTTCTGGCTGAATGTGACGTAACTTGATAAAAAACCCCACACACTCCCTGAGCTTATAGGGCAATTTCACTTGCTGCAAGGTGAAAACAAGAAGTGGAACTCAAAGAGCTGGGTGGAGAATTTACGAACTTTGGAGCATTTGAGCCAGCCTGTCATGCAATTGTAAACAAATATAACTTCATGGAAACTGACAGAAAGTCAAAAACATCTCGATAAGTGCAAATACAGCACTGTCCTAAGATCAAATACAAAGAAGTGTATTTAACCAAACCACATCATTTGCAAAAATCTTAATGCTAAGAAGACAACGCCAAACACCAGATATGGGCTAAATGAAACTTGAGTAGATCAGTGTGCTATAACCCTTGAAGCTATGGATATTTGAATACAGACAGTACACAAACACAATACAGACACGCATATACGGTATAATTGGTGTGAAAGATGAGTAAAATGACTGCGGTTTTGCTGGAGTTAGTATCCAGAGAAAACTCACTGGGAGAAGGCACAAACTCCACAAATAAAGGGCGAAGCCCAGATTCAAACCTCAGAACCATGAGGCAGACATGCTCAACGCTAGCTCACTGTGCCGACTGCTCACTCTGCAATTTGAAAAACTCATAAAACCTCACAGGGACAGTTAGAAAGCCAATCGTGATTTCACAAATTCTCATGATGTACTGTAAAAAAATATATCATAACTTTAGTATACTTCAGGGTTTTATCCATGATTGGAACAGTCACTAATAACACAACACATACCGGTAGATTTGATGATGTTCACAGAAAAACGTCGCAACCAATAATAACAATAATAATAACAATATAGTATATAGCAACAATAGTCATTTTTCGCAGAGCAGAAAGAATATATTGAGTATTGTAAGATGACAGCTGCATTTTTACTTCTGCTTGTGTTCAAGGATTACAATTACAGTGAGATCAATGCTAATTTCATTCGACCTGCCTTTTGTGTTAGTTAGCATTAAGGTGCCATGCATATGAGAATATAATGAAACTGTTTTTCTCTTTGTTTTCTGTTTTACAGTAAATTTCCAGAGCAAGATGTGTTTTTGTTACTTAGTCCAGTATGGGTCATGCCAAGGTTGAGTGCACCTACAGTACATCAAGTGTGTCAGCTAAGTAGGGGGCAGGCCAATGTTTTAATAGCTCTTGGAATCCACCACTGTTCCCTGCAGATGCTTGTTAGTGAGTACTTAAAAGACAACATCCAGCAGCACACAAACTCTTCAATGTCCCCTTGAGATGTTGCCACACACCATGAGAGCGGACCCGTTGACTGTATTTTTTCCTTCTCGACTGTATCCTAACCATCTTTGGCTGTGTGTTTCCATGGCACCCCCGCACTCCTTTGTCCAAATATAGCAGTCAGCAGCATGATTTAAGACTTATGACCCCAGACTTGCTTGTTGACCATTTTATGATATTCCATGACTAAAAATGAAGGCCTTCCCACAATGACTTCAATGGTGACGCTGCATTTTGGGCAGGTAGACCAGTGGACTGTGGTTCTTAACAAATGGTGTGTAATTAGTGCTATAAAAGAATTTTAATATCACACGGAACAGAAACAAAGTCAATATTATGAGGAAAAAAATGTGAACGAGTGAATATCACCAAATTTTTTTCGAGAAAACTCAGCATTTTTCTTATTCACATGACATGACTTCTGGCCTGCCTCGTCCAAATTCACATGGCCTTCGAATCTATCCTTCAAATTTGGAAATGTACAAGTATTGTATTCCATAACTGAGATATAATTGAGCAGTGATTCTTTCTGCATAAAAAATAGCCAATGATGCCTTAAGAGTATCTAGCTACCTTAATGCTAACATATAATGGAAAATACCATTGTCATGCTAACGGTTAGCATCGATATTATCGGTTTTAGAAGCAACGGATATTTGAACACAAACGTTGGCACAATGTATCTAAACAGATAACATAACAATACTCACAGGCATATAGTCTTTGTCCTCAAAGAAAATTTGTAATTTTACTGCATCTTACGGAGTTCCTTGCACTAAAAGTAGAAGTTCGTTTATGTTTAAGCGGTATTATACTGCTTCCTGGTGGCCAAGCTTGGCAGCACAATGAACGTCAACATTGTCGTAGTAGTCATTTTTATAACACATACTTTATAGTTAATTATAATACTACAATATTATATTATCATTACTTTTTTTTTAATAAAGTACAGTATTATGTTATTTTTCCTTATTGAAAAACATTTGAGGTCGTATCACAAGACAACACTGTCTGTGGCTTCAGTGTTTGAATTCTAATTTATAACAGCATTTTTATTTGTTTAACTGAGGAGACCTTTTTTAGCAATTAACAACGAATTAAACGTGGGCATTCAATTTTGAAAATTTGAATCAGATTTACATTTTTTTCAATGGTGAAATTCAAATTCTAATTTATGGCAAAGTTATGCAATAGTTACAAAGTTCTTTGGCGACTCACCAGAAATTTGGCACACACTCTGGTAGTCGTCGCAGCAGTCTCCGGTTTTGTGACAATAGGTGTCGCAGTAGCATACCGTCTTTCTCCTCGTGTACTCGAAGCAGTCGTTGTTCCGGCCGGTGCAGCAGTTGGGACTGTCCCGCTCTCGGCAGCCGGCCTCCACTCGGGGTACCGTCAACCCGCACAATAAGGCCAAACATCCGCACAGTGACAGAACAGATCCGAGAAGCGCAGAGCTCCGTTGGTGCGCGCCCATGACCAAGGTGCTCCACGCAACTGCACAAGACTACACGATCTTCTTCTCCAATCTGGGTCCGTCTAGGTGGCAACGTGTTTTAAAAGAGTGCTCTCGTGGGTCTTGTTACATGGAAGAGAAACACAGCATGGCGCTGCTCCTGGATGGGTGACAATGAGAAGTTAGTGATGCGTAATAGTGGACCAAGAGCGCGCACCAGCTCTCCTCTGTGCGCTCTGGGACACGCCCCTTGGAGCTATTCTTGCGTGTTCCCAAACTTTTACTGTACCTCTCGCCCCC